GCTGCCTGGCACATAGTAGGCACTCACTGCACATTTGTTAAACGAATGAATGAATGTTGTAGCTGGTTGCATTTCACATTATAGATACTCGATAAATAATTGTTGAGTTAATATTGACTTGTGAGACTAGGGTAGAGAAAACAGGAGAGTGTAAAGTTCAAGGTCATAGGATGGAGACTTCGGTGAAGGCACAGCCTCATCACTAACTCGGAGTCTCAGAAGAACAACGTGTGAGGCGCACACCGGGGAAGCAAATGTTGGAAGTAATCGGCTCAACGACTGCAGGAGCCCAACCCACAAAGGCTGGGCCAAGCTTCCAGGAGCAGGAGAGGAGACAATAGGAAGACAGGGCAAAGACACTGTCTCCCACAGGAGCTGCAAGCAGGTGGCAGTTTCAGAAGAACCTGGGCAGGGGGCCTGTGTCAGAGTTGAGGGGTGGAAACCAGAAACCAGAGGGAAGGGCTGGAAGGCACAAAGAAACAGGCCTGGCCTTTTATGGATAGAAAAGGTCCTGAAGAGAAGGGAGATTCCTCCAATAGGCAGGCAGAGAAGGATGGACAGAGGGGCACCAGTGACCATGAGTAGAGGGAGCTGGTATGAAGGAGCCTCTAACTTAGAAGTTTCCCTCGATCCCTCAAAGGCAGACTCCATTTACCTGTATCTTCCTGAGTGAGGAGTTTGAAGCATTTGTCTGATGTCTGCTCTGAGTGGGAAGCAGTGTTGGGTGGGGACAGGGCCATGACTCTCGGTGCTCTAGGCAATGGTCCTAAATGCTGACGACAGTTGCCCAGGCAGCGTCTGAAGCCCATGTTTGTCAAATGCAGTGACCCCCTTTGGGGTTCTGTGTCTGCCAGGCTTTCTCCAGAGGCCTCCCCAGTCCTGACAGGGAAGAGCCCAGAGAGCACCAGGGCCTGCCCTCCGCCCCCAGAAGGCCATGCACCACTCCTGTTGGTTGGTGGACACTCACCTGTGGACTGTCCTGGTAGGGTGGGGGAGGGACATTCTGCGTGGCCATCATCGTCAGAGCTGGGGCAGGGGAGGCATGTTGCATCATGGGGTTGATTCACATCGAGGATCTGTGGCAGGAGAAAGGAGGCCACATGTTAATACTGAGCCCAGGGAGCCCAGGAACCAGCAGGTGGACATTTCAGGCTGGGCCACCTGGACTGACCAGACACAGCAAGGGTTTAAAGCCCTTTAGGGGAATTTAAAGCCCAGAGGGGAGCTATGGGGAGAGGCCTGGGTGGGGAGAGGCTTGCTGTGAGAGTTGACTTAAATAAAACAATACTCAAATCAGATATAAAACAACCCGTATGAAGCCATACTTAGTTCAGCATCAGTTGGGGGTAAGGGCTTGGGGAGCGGGGGGAGGCATTTGGCTGATGGCAGCACAGTGGGGTTGGAGGCCATTCGGTACCCACAAGACAAGGGTGCTTTCTCCATCCCAAGCCTTCAGAGCAACCGACTGCATTTACTCTGAGGGCGCCGAGGCCTCAGCCATTGCCCTTCCAGCTCCAGTTACCCTCTCCCTGCCCCCTCCTGGGTGTGCTCACTACACCCCCTAGTGGTGCGAAGGGACGTGACCCGCTGGTCCCTTCCTCAGAAGGGAGGTGGAGCACGCGGCCCTAGCGACTTCTTGGAGGTCTTCCAGGAAAATCCGAAAGCCTGGGTGAAGTGCCCATCCCCTGGGGGTTATTCTAGGTGTGTGTTGGTGACTATGGGCTTATTGATGTGCCGGCCCATCCTACGAAGGAAGACTTTCCTTAGCCTTCATTCGATGTAGAGACAGACATGTGGGGCCAGAGGAGCCGTCAGAGCCCACTGCTTATCCCCCCACCCCTCACAGAGGAGATGGAGGCCAAGAGGAGTGACGTGTGTGTGTGTGTGTGTGTGTGTGTGTGTGTTTGGGGGTGGAGTGCTAGTGAAGCAGGGATGGAACCCAAGTCCCCTGATTCCCAGTCCTCCCCCCATCTGCTTTACTGTACCCCTGACCCCTACCTCACAACCAGGAAGTGAGGAGCCCCCACTGGGCCTCAGTATTTCTTCTTGAACCAGAAGGTGCTGCTGTAAGCGGAGACAGCCTGGCAGTGCCACCCAAGGAAACAGGATGCCCAGAGAGCTGTTTAGCTCAGTAGGTGCCCTGAAATATTTAGAGCTGGAACCATGGGCACGCTGCCTGATACAGGGCCATCTATCATGGGGCATGGAGACGCCTAAGAACCGCTGTAGGGTGCAGGACCTGTCCTCCCAGGGGAGGGTGCTGATGAGCCAGAGACCTTTGTCTCCCTGAGGCCCTCCCATCACACCCTCCCCAGAGTCTCCCAAAATGTTCACATGCCTGAATTCTGCAGGAATTCGAGGGTGTTCTGAGNTTATAGAGTAGCAACGAAAATAATTTTATGGTTGGGGGTCACCACAACATGAGGAACTGTATTAAGGGGTCGCAGCATTAGGAAGGTTGAGAACCGCTGTCCTAGAAGATCTTCCGGGAACGGGAGGCAGAGCAAGCCCCAGTCCTCCTCAGGCCCGCGGCTACTTGATCACCTGTTCCCTGATTTATTTTAAGCGTTGTATACTTGGGCCATTAACTATTTTTGTAACTGTTTAGGGCACTCCTCCTGCTTGGAGGCAATCGGCTAGACAATAAAATCTCTGTTCTTGGGGTAAATATCAGAATTCAGGTAGCAAGTACATCAAATGCAAAACCTGGACAAGGTCATTAGAGTGAGTGTCACAAGCCTTGTTGCTGGCCCACCATCTCCTAAGTGGGGACAGACAGGCCCCACTGTGGGACCTGAGGCTGCTTTGCCTTTTCCATGTGACAACTCCAGGTCTTGAGTGAGTTGGAGTTCAGGATGTGCCCAGTCTAAAGACATGGGTGGCCCAAGCAACCAGGGAGAGAGGTCGATGCGTACAAAGAGAAGAAATGACCAGCAGAAAATATAAAGGAAAGAGAGGAGTCCGTTTGGATGAGTCAAAGCAAGGGCAGACAGGTTGCCCATAAGGTCCCTGGGGTGCTGCGCCCAAGGGTACAAGGAGCCATCAATCATAGCCACAGAAAAGGCTTAGGGGGACTTTCAAAGCTGCTGAATTAACGCTATTGCTGCAAAGCGAATGAGTTTCACAGGCAGCTGAGCAGAGGTTCCCTGCAAGGCAGGGGGCTCCAGCCCTTAAAGAGATGAGAGGAATGTAAAGTGTGTAAAAACATCTGAACCCGCTTCTGCCTGTCACAGCTGCATGGCCTGGATGGAGGGGCCATTCACAGCTGGGGCCCCAGCCACCCCCTCTGCCTTCAGTTAATGAAACCAGCATGGGAACCCTGATGACTGATCAATGGTCCAGCTGCCCCAGGATGTCTGCTCCCCTGGCCCCACCCAAGTGAGAATGGTGCTGGGATAGTGAGGGAAAAAAGGCACTTGGAGGGATAGGGAGCCAGGCCTGGCCGAGCTCTCCGACATGGCTGGCCCAGCTCAGCCTCCCTCTGGCAGGAGGAGTAAAATAGCATCATCTTGACCCCAGATCTCCAAGCACAGTTTCCTGGAGTCCTGACACCATTCTCCTCGTGCTGAGGGTTGCGGGCGGATGGAGGGGCATGGAGGAGCACAGCTTTTGCCAAAGGGTCCCAAGAAAACGCTTGACTTCCTGCAGACACGAGATTCCCACACGAGTCCTAGACTGAGAGTTCTGACTTCTGTCCTGCTTCCTCTGGTCAATAGTGAGGCTGCATCCCTGGTGAACCGCCAAACCCTTTTCATATCACCCATCATCGAGTCATGCTCCATAAGCACCTGGCTGCCTACATATCAATTTGTTCTGAAACTGTTAACTGAGCGTTCTCATTCAGGGCACTGTGCTGAGTGGGTCAGACCAGGACCCACAAGCATTTCTGCTTCCACACAGCCTGAGGTGCTGGGGACAAGCAGGCAGAGGAAGATGGAACACTGAATACATGCTCAAGTAGACCGGATACAATATTTGTCTTCCTATAAGTCAAGGGCAAAGATATTTGTGGAACGTTATGTATGCGTCTATGTTTGAGGAAACGTGGGGGGTGGAGTGCTGGTAGCAGGAGCTTTTTGTGTGCAGATAAGGTGAGGGTGGAAAAGCTAATAAATCCAGAGGGTTTTCTGAATTGCTGATGGAGGGACCAAAAGGAGAACTTTGCTTGGTGGATAATGTTGCATGTGGAGTGTTACAGGAAATGGGAGAATTTGAAGGACACTTCAGAGGTGGACAGAGAATACACGAATGAAGGGTGGATGCCTAGAAGGAGTGAGAGGGCTGCCGCGTTACCATGAAGGTTCTGGGAGGAGACTGGAGTGACACTTGCTGGGAGAGGGAGCAACTGCAGAGAACACAATAACTTTAAGAGTCCCGTTAGGACCAGTGGGGTGCTGGGCAGTGGGAGGAGGGCGTTGTGAGAGTCCAGGTGGCAGGTGGCTGAGCTGTGGCAGAGATGCAGAAGAGCGGAAGTAGAGCGATGTAGTGATTCACACAATATATTGACTGGAGGGACCACACACCTAGTTCATATGCAGGTCTCCCTAGAAACAATGTTTTCATTAAACGCCAGACCTCCAGGTTTCCAGGTGACTTGCCTCTGCCTCTCAGAGCATAAGTGAGGGTCTGGATCAAGGGCCCAGCTACAGCGCGCTGGACTTGAGGTGCTGCAGTTAGACAGTAGGGGGTGCTGCGACTCTGGCAGAACTTAACAGGAAGCCACCAGATAAGAGGAAGCAGGCCACCAGGAAAGAGTCCAGTAGTCACCGTTTTTGCACTTTCTAAGCTTAGGGTCTGTCTCTAGAGCACATTAAACACAGAGTGACGCCCTTACAAGCAATCATGAAGGTTCCCTACGACTGACAGAAACAGGCAGAGGGGCCGGAGGCTGCCTGGCCATCCTACCACTTTGCTGTGCCCTAATAGCGTGGGGCCAGAACCATTAACGCTTCTCAACTAAAACGGGAAGAGAAAAGAAGCCTCCCTCATTTTTAATAACTTTATTCCCCAAACTTCAAAAATGAAATTGCCACGTTAAGAACTTGCCTTGAAAAAAAAAATTCTAATTTATTATAAAGAAAGTCCGGGGCTTGGGAATATTTTTAATGCAGATTCCTAATTTTCCAAAGTGCGGTTCTCCTGTGCATTTGAATAGATTATGCTCGGTACTGCTAGCCCTTAGCACAACGGGAACATTATTAAAACGATTGCATGGGTCTCAGAGGAAGGGCTCTGCTTCTTGCTTCCTTTATCATTTTGGGGACTTCGTATCAGAGACTGTCCATTTTGCCTGTGGAAGGAACTGGGTTTCCGAGGAGGTGATCAAGAGATGTGCTCAGCTGTGCAGGCCTTGAGGAAACAAGTCATACTGGGTCCAAAAGTAATGAGATGAGACCTCAAGGAATGAGGAGGAGGTGGGAATCCTTTCCAGAGGGCCCCCGTGTGCCTGTCCCCTGTTCCCATTAGGCTCGGCTTTCCTGAGGACACTGAGTGTCAGAGAGCAGCTGGTTCTCTAGGATAATGAGCGTTACGAGGGCAATGGAGCAGGGCTTCCCCTGAGAAGCTGGGCTCAGCCTCTTGAAAGCATAAAGGGAAGAAGACAGGGGGACCAGAGCAAGTTCCCCAGCAGAAAACTCACATGGAAGACATTCCTGTGCACAAGCCACTTCTAGCAACCCCCAAGAGTGGAGAGAAGGCCCCCCGCCCCCAAAAGCTGACTGGCTTCAAAGTCAAGCACTTCCTGGAGAGACAACCCAGTCTATGTTCTGGGGACCTTACCCACCTCCTCCGTTCCACCTATTCCATCGCTGCCCGAACTCCTCCCATGATTCTCTGTCCTGATCAGTTTCCTTGGGAACCAGTTTGGCCCAGGGAAGCCCCATATGGCAATCTGCCACAGCCTAGTGGCCTAGCCAAGGCCATGAAGACCCCAGACCTTGGCCTGGTCACTTTACCATGGACACGGAGACTTACTGTCAGACATTCCTGGACCTCTGGGGTCACAAATAGGTGTGTGGCTTCCCCAGGGCAAATTATTCCCTTGCTGTAAATTAAGTACTGGTGGTTGTTCAGAGAGGAGAGGCTGGGGACAGTCCCCACATGGTGCTTCTTCTCTGAGACCCTAGGTGAGGAACTGGAGCCTCCGTTCTTCCCTTAAAAGGCCGGAGAAGCTCAGTGGTGGCTTCTAGGGGTGTGGGGCAGCGCCTTAGGGCTGCAGCCCCATCTCCACCCCCCCCTCAGCAGCTGGGATGTATTAATACTCAGCTGTATGCTGAGAATTAAATTAGGCTCCTCGACTTAAGTACACCCAGATCAGCATACTTGGACAACACAGGCCCTTCCTGCAGCTTTCTTGCTAATCCCCACCAAACCCAAACTTTTCCCAGCTGCCCAGGCAGCAAAACAGAGGGGGCGGGGGCCGGGCGGGAGGAGGCAGCAGCTGCCAGCTGTGCCAATCCAGGGCTCTCTGACCTCTCTGTTCGCCAGTCTGTCCCTGGGCCCTGGGTATGGGGGTGTGGGCCTTTGTGCCCACCACCTGCTAAATGCAGGGAGTGTCCCACTGCCACTCCCATTCCTACCGTGGATTTAGGAAAGCAGCATCCAGCTACAAAAGAAACGGAGCCAAAGTTCCTGCCTCTTTATCACTACCTCGGGGTCCCCAACGCTGCCTGAGCAGATGAGGGATTGGGGTTGCGTCTGCTGAGAAGGATTATGTTTGTCCCTGTTGTGGCCCCTGGGTTCCCAGGTCTCCAACTAGTCCAGGCCTCCTGTTCTCCATTCTGACTATAGAAAGAAAGGGCCCGATATACCGTTGCTCATCTGGAAGCTTTCAAATCGCGGAACCATGTCAGTGCCAAGCCCAACCTGGGGTCGTTTGTGGAAAGTTACTGACACGGGCAGAGGGTTTGCTGGATATGAGGGTAGGTTGGAGAGGGCCTAGGAAAAAGCATGGAGTTGATATGGGGGAGCAGGGGTGGGGACAAAAGGACATGTGCTCGAAGGTCAGTGAATGACAAGTGCTTTTGGATTTTGCAGGCTGAGGCGTCAATGGTAGTCTGAGTGCTGGACACTGTTAAGTGTAACTTATTGGGGAAATAACAGGATGGATAGAACAGGATAGATATGCTCACACGAGGCTGGGGGTGTCAGGGCCAGAGGACCTAACGTGGGCAAAAGCCTGCGCACCCTGTGTCTGCGTCTTAATATCCTTCTCATGTTCCACAGATCTTCTGTGTGGTCCACGAGAACAGCTGTTTTTGAAATGCCTAATGAGGAGGGATATCAGGGCAGGGCAAACATGCTGCTGGGAGGAGTGAGAAAGGCTGCCTGGCACATAGTAGGCACTCACTGCACATTTGTTAAACGAATGAATGAATGTTGTAGCTGGTTGCATTTCACATTATAGATACTCGATAAATAATTGTTGAGTTAATATTGACTTGTGAGACTAGGGTAGAGAAAACAGGAGAGTGTAAAGTTCAAGGTCATAGGATGGAGACTTCGGTGAAGGCACAGCCTCATCACTAACTCGGAGTCTCAGAAGAACAACGTGTGAGGCGCACACCGGGGAAGCAAATGTTGGAAGTAATCGGCTCAACGACTGCAGGAGCCCAACCCACAAAGGCTGGGCCAAGCTTCCAGGAGCAGGAGAGGAGACAATAGGAAGACAGGGCAAAGACACTGTCTCCCACAGGAGCTGCAAGCAGGTGGCAGTTTCAGAAGAACCTGGGCAGGGGGCCTGTGTCAGAGTTGAGGGGTGGAAACCAGAAACCAGAGGGAAGGGCTGGAAGGCACAAAGAAACAGGCCTGGCCTTTTATGGATAGAAAAGGTCCTGAAGAGAAGGGAGATTCCTCCAATAGGCAGGCAGAGAAGGATGGACAGAGGGGCACCAGTGACCATGAGTAGAGGGAGCTGGTATGAAGGAGCCTCTAACTTAGAAGTTTCCCTCGATCCCTCAAAGGCAGACTCCATTTACCTGTATCTTCCTGAGTGAGGAGTTTGAAGCATTTGTCTGATGTCTGCTCTGAGTGGGAAGCAGTGTTGGGTGGGGACAGGGCCATGACTCTCGGTGCTCTAGGCAATGGTCCTAAATGCTGACGACAGTTGCCCAGGCAGCGTCTGAAGCCCATGTTTGTCAAATGCAGTGACCCCCTTTGGGGTTCTGTGTTTGCCAGGCTTTCTCCAGAGGCCTCCCCAGGCCTGACAGGGAAGAGCCCAGAGAGCACCAGGGCCTGCCCTCCGCCCCCAGAAGGCCATGCACCACTCCTGTTGGTTGGTGGACACTCACCTGTGGACTGTCCTGGTAGGGTGGGGGAGGGACATTCTGCGTGGCCATCATCGTCAGAGCTGGGGCAGGGGAGGCATGTTGCATCATGGGGTTGATTCACATCGAGGATCTGTGGCAGGAGAAAGGAGGCCACATGTTAATACTGAGCCCAGGGAGCCCAGGAACCAGCAGGTGGACATTTCAGGCTGGGCCACCTGGACTGACCAGACACAGCAAGG